CGATCTTTCCCAGCAGCAGGGTCTTTTCTAATGAGTTGGCTCTTTTTCTAATGAGTTGGCTCTTTTCTAAACAGGTGGCCAAAGAATTGGAACTTCAGTTTAGGGCATCAGTTCTTCCAATGAATATTCAGGACTGATTTCCTTTAGGATGGACTGGTTTGATCTCCTTGTAATTCAAGGGACTCTCAAGAGTCTTCTGCATCACCAGAGTTCAAAATCGTCATTCCTTTGTTGTTCAGCTTTGTTTATAGTCCAACTCTCACATCCATATATGACTACTGGAAAAACCAGGTTTGACTAGACAGACCTTTGTTGGCAAAGTAATGTTTCTGCATTTAATGTGCTGTCTAGGTTGGTCATAGGTTTTGTTCCAAGGAGCAAGCATCTGTTAATTTCATGGCTTAAGTCACCATCTGCAGTGTTTTTGGAGCATAAGAAAATAAAGTCTCTGACTGTTTCCATTGTTTCCCCCTCTATTTGCCTTGAAGTGATGGGACCAGACACCATTATTTTAGTTTTCTGAATGTTGAGCTTTAAGCCAATTTATTCACTCTCCTCTTTCACCTTCCTGAAAAGGATTTTTAGTTCTTTGATTTCTGCCATAATGGTGGTGTCATCTGTGTGTCTGAGGTTATTGACATTTCTCCCGGCAATCTTGATTCCAGCTTGTGCTTCATCAAGCCTGGCATTTCCCATGATGTACTCTGCACAGAAGTTAAATAAGCAGGGTGACAGTATACAGCCTTGACGTACTATTTTACCAATTTGGAACCAGTCTGTTGTTCCATGTCCAATTCTAAATGTTGCTTCCTCACCTGCATATAGGTTTTGCAGGAGGTAGGTAAGGTGGTCTGGTATTTCCATCTCTTGAAGAATATTTCACAGATTGTTGTGATCTACACAGTTAGGAAAAACAAGACCGGGGGTGAACTGTGGCTCAGATCATGAACTCCTGATTTCCAAATTCAGACTTAAATTGAAGAAAGTGGGGAAAACCACCAGGCCATTCAGGTATGACCTAAATCAAATCCCTTATGACTATACAGTGGAAGTGAGAAATAGATTTAAGGGACTAGATCTGATAGACAAGAGTGCCTGATGGAGGTTCATCACATTGTACAGGAGACAGGGATCAAGACCATCCCCAAGAAAAAGAAATGCAAAACAGCAAAATGGCTGTCTGAGGAGGCCGAGCTTGGAGAATTTTGAGCATAATCTTGATAGTGTGTCAAATGAGTGCAATTGTGCAGTAGTTTGAAGACTGTTCAAACTAGGGCATAGCCCTTCTTTGGGACTGGAATCAAATGGACTTTTTCCAGTCCTATGGCCACTGCTGAGTTTCCAAGTTTGCCAGTATATTGAGTGTACCACTTTAACAGTATCATCTTTTAAGATTTGAAATAGCTCAGCTGGAATTCCATCACCTCCACTAGTTTTGTTTGTAGTGGTGCTTCCTGAGGCCCACTTGACTTCACCCTCCAGGATGTCTGGCTCTAGGTTAGTGATCACACCATCATGGTTATATGGGTCTTTAAGATCTGTTTTGTAGAGTTCTTCAGTATATTTTTGACACTTCTTCTTAATAATCTTGTCATTAAAGTTATTAATGAGATTTATTAATGAATCTTATGCTCCTTTCTAGAATTATTTTGTGTCAATCTGAATGTTAGCTTCCTCATTTGAGATATAACATTTTAATGGCATATATGCTTTAACTGTTTTTAATGCTTCCTTCAGAAATGTTGTATTTGCAATTCTTTCCCTTAGAAAAATCCTTCTGGCTTACCTGGTATCTAGTGTCTTACCATCATTTGAGACTTTATTGACTGCTAATACTTGATACAGGTTGCTCTCCTGTTTCCCTGGTTTGCCATTTCATAATATTAAAAATTATCAATACTTATGCACACAAAAATGGTGTGAATATTGGCCTCAGGTTTTTCATGCTTAAGCAAAATTCAGGAAATGGTGTTCTAATCTTAATATATGCCTTGCACAAAATTGTTCTGTTGTTTCCCTACTGTAAAAATGAGCTGCTTCTTTTAGGAAAATAATAGGCTTGCAGTCATATCTCAAAATGCTAATAAATGGTTATTTTTCTTAAAAAGAGCTATTTTCTATGATGACATGGGAAGTATACATCAAGCATTTCTACTACATTCCAAAGCCCTATGTCCCAAGGAAAATCATTTGTATGAGCTGAACTACCCTCTTTTTCATGGAATGCAATTTTTATCTGAAAGAAGGAATGACACTGGAAGATCTATAAAACATAGTGAAACAATGAATTACTTTTTAAAAATCTTAACATTAGTACAAGTGACATCCAGTGTGCAAAATAGGCTTATGAATTTTAATATAACAGAATAGGAAATAGTGATATTGTTTTAGGTCCACTGAGAAAATAACTTTTAAGAAACTATCATTTGAGTGTTTTAGTTTTGTATCAAAGATAAACATCCACAAATAACAGGAAAGGTTATTAAAAATATTACTCCTACATATGTATGGTCCTTTTTATTTTCATATATTTCAATCAAAATAACGGATTCAGTGCAAAAGCAAACATAAAATCCAGTGAAACAGACAAGGAAAAGACTTGCAAAAATATAAAAATGAAAAAACTTCCACTGTTCCCACTAGAGAGTTTATTTGGAGAAATAGTTCTTTTCATATAAAAATCATGGGTTATTAACATTATTCTAAGTAAATTAGTTTAAAAATTTTAAACTTATTTCTACTATGGAAAATATCGACAGAAGTAACCACATAAACAAAATTATCCTTGGGGTCCTCACTAATATGTAGGATTATATAAATATCCTGACCAAAATGTTCTGAAACTATCTGACTCCACAGTCGCTGGGCCAGGACTCGGGGACAGTGTGACTGCAGAATTCTCAGTGCAGGAGAGGAGAGATCAGGGCAAAGTCCCAGGTACTAGATGTGGTTCTCACGTTCTCAGCGTCTCAGAGTCAAGGGCCTTGTTTGGGGCGGGGGCTGTCTGTGTTAGGATCCCTAGTCTCCTTGAGTTTCACTTTCTCTTCGCAAACTGTGTTGTGCCTTTCTGCCCAGACGCTCGTGTCACTCCCACTGGGTGTCTTGTTTCTAGAAGCCAATCAGCGGCCCCGCGGTTCCAGGTTATAAAGTCTCCACCGGTACCCCCCCCCACCCCCCACCCCACCCCCACCCCCACCCTCCGCCGGGACTCGGCTTCTCCCCAGACCCGGAGGATACGGGTCCTGGGGCCGCGACCCCTCCTCCTGCTGCTCTAGGGGTTCCTAGTCCTCACCGAGACTTGGGCCGGTGAGTGCGGGGTCGGGAGGGAACGGCCTCTGCGCGGAGGGGCAAGGGGACAGCCCGGGGATCGGGGGTGGGGGGGGAGGACCCCCAGGGAAGGAGCCGACCCGCCGCCCTCGCTCAGACCCGTCCTGTCCCACCTGGTCCCGTCCTGTTCCTCCCCTGCTTCCCGCCCCCTTTCCTCTCCCCCCAAGAAGTCCCGGTCCTTCTCCGACCTTTTCAGTCTCACATGCCCCTAGCCCCTAGCCCCCTCCCACTCCCGGCCCCATCACCTCTGACCCGGGACCCGCGCCAGGAGGAAGGACGGGCCGGGTCTCACGCCTTCCCGCCCCCAGGCTCCCACTCCCTTAACTATTTCTGCACCAGCGTGTCCCGCCCGGCCTCGGGGAGCCCCGTTTCTTTGCCGTCGGCTACGTGGACGACACGCAGTTCGCGCGGTTCGACAGCGACGCCCCGAATCCGAGGATGGAGCCGCGGGCGCCGTGGGTGGAGCAGGAGGGGCCGGAATACTGGGAAGAGATTACACGAGATGCCAAGAAAGCTCAACAGAGGTTGCGGTCAGGCTTGAACACCCTGCCCGGTTTCTACAACCAGAGCGAGGCCGGTGAGCGACGCGGACCCGGGTCCAGGTCACGACTCCTATCCCCAGGGACTGGCTGGGGTCGCCCCGAATCTCTGGGTCCGAGGGTCACCCCGACATTGCGGGACCCTCACCGCCCCCCCCCCCATTCGGGAGTAGGCGGGGGCGGGGCGGGGACTTGACCCGGTTTCATCTTCAGTTTGGGTTTAATCACCGCGGGTGGTCGGGGCGGGTCAGGGTCTCACACCCTCCAGTGGGTGTTTGGCTGCGACGTGGGGCCGGACGGGCGCCTCCTCCGCGGGATCTGGCAGAACGCCTATGACGGTGCGGATTACCTCACCCTGAACGAAGACCTGCGCTCCTGGACCGCCGCGGACACGGTGGCTCAGATCACCAAGCGCAAGAGGGAAATCTCCGGTGAGGCTGAGTTCCAAGGGAACTTGACCAACGGAGGTCAAGTGCGTGCAGTGGCTCCGCAGACACCTGAAGAACGGGAAGGACACGCTGCTGCGCGCAGGTACGAGGGGCACGGGGCCTCCCTGATCTCCTCTCAGGCTGGAGCCAGCTTTCCACGAGGAGAGGAAAATGGGGTCCTTCTGGGAACACCGCCCCAACTTCTTGTCTGGAGAGGGGGGAGTCTCCCCATGTTTTCATATTCTGTAGAAGACAGTGACACACCAGTGGCCCCACTTCTGAAGGACAGTTAAAGCATCAGTGTTTCTGGAGAATCAGAAAAACATCCCTGAAATAACTGGTCAGCGGTGCCCTTTGACCCTGACTGCCATCTTGTGAACCATGACTTTCTCTCTCAAGGCCTGTTCTCACCCTGAGACCATCTTAGGAGGCCAGACTCCAGCTTTTCTGAGACATTCAGCCTCCACCCAAATCAGGACAATTACTCTGTATTTTCCGCTGACATGGAGTCTCCTACCTTGGCACTCACCCTGACTCCAGAACTTTCCAAGAACTAGGAGTTTTGCCCAGACCACAGATTCCAGGCTGGTGTCTGGTGTCTGTGCTGTTTCTTTTCAAATCCATTATCTCACCCGTTCTCAGTATGGTCACGTGGTTCTGTTTCAGTGGCCCATGGAGTGTGAATTTTCTGATTCTTCCTCTTCAGACCCTCCAAAGGCATGTGTGACTCATCACCCCATCTCTGACCGTGAGGTCACCCTGAGGTGCTGGGCCCTGGGCTTCTACCCTGAGGCGATCTCACTGACCTGGCAGCGTGACGGGGAGGACCAGACTCAGGACATGGAGCTTGTGGAGACCAGGCCTTCAGGGGATGGAACCTTCCAGAAGTGGGCAGCCCTGGTGGTGCCTTCTGGAGAGGAGCTGAGATACACATGTCATGTGCAGCATGAGGGGTTCCAGGAGCCCCTCACCCTGAGATGGGGTAAGGAGGGGGTAGGAATAGAGCTTCCTCTCAGATAAAGCAGGAACCCTTCTGGACACCATCAGCAAGGTCAGAACTGAAGCCTGAAGTCTGGGCCCTTCCTTTTCTTCCACAGAACCTCCTCAGCCCTCCGTCCTCATCATGGGCATCACTGTTGGCCTGGTTCTCATGGTCAATGGAGCTGTGGTGACTGGAGCTGTGATTTGGAGGAAGAAGTGGTCAGGTAGCAAAAGGAGGGAGGGATCTGAGTTTTCTTGTCTCACTGGGCAGGTTTCTGGCCCAGATGAAAGTTTGCCTGCCTCGTTACTGGAATCTACCCTCCACACACATGTGGAATCTGAGCTGATACTATGACTGACCCTTCTGTAAAGTACATGTAAAAATGAGAGACAAATTTTTCATCTTCATAACTCCGTTTGGGGGCCTGTTTCTCAGCATTTGAAGGTCAGGAGGGAATGTCCCTGCTGAGGACAGACCTCCAGGAGGGCCCCCCACGTCTCCTTCCTTCATGTTCCTGAGCCTATCCTGGATTTTTGGTCAGAGTTCTGAAAAGTTCTTTGTCGTCCAGACTAGGGAGTTCCTCTAGGATCTCATGACTCGGTCTTCTCCCTGGTCTCTCATGTGGTACTGCTTTCTCTAGTTTCTTCTCTGTGGGTTCTGACCACGTTCTGGTTTTATTCTCCCCCAGGCTGTGACAGTGCCCTGGGCTCTGATGTGTCTCTCACGGTTCCTAAAGGTGAGACCCTGGACGGTCTAGATTGGGAGAGGAGTTGGGGCAGAGGGGACACACTGGGTGGCGGGATCTTTGAGTGGGACATGTAAGCATATGGGGGGTTGTGGAGAATGTGAGCCCTACATAACCGACCTGAACTGGTTCCTGATTCTTTTCTCTCACAGTGTGAGACAGCTGCCTTGTGGGGACTGAGTGATGCTCCGGCCCACTTTGTGACATCAGATCCCCAGACTCCTCTTTCTATAGCTGCATCTGAGTGTGTCTGTGCTCCTATTAGCATAAGATGAAGAGGTGGGGAGACTGCCAACCTCTTCCAATCCAAACTCCGGGATTTAAAATGTGGTGCCTACCATTGCAACAAAAAGAATAAAATACTTAGGAGTTTATCTACCTAAAGAAACAAAAGACCTATACATAGAAAACTATAAAACACTGATGAAAGAAATCAAAGAGGACACAAACAGATGGAGGAATATACCGTGTTCATGGATTGGAAGAATCAATATTGTCAAAATGGCTATACTACTCAAAGCAATCTATAGATTCAATGCAATCCCTATCAAGCTACCAATGGTATTTTTCACAGAACTAGAACAAATAATTTCACAATTTGTATGGGAATAAAAAAAAAACCTCGAATAGCCAAAGTAATCTTGAGAAAGAAGAATGGAACTGGAGGAATCAACCTGCCTGACTTCAGACTCTGCTACAAAGCCACAGTCATCAAGACAGTATGGTACTGGCACAAAGACAGAAATATAGATCAATGGAACAGAATAGAAAGCCCAGAGATAAATCCACAAACCTATGGACACCTTATCTTCGACAAAGGAGGCAAGGATATACAATGGAAAAAAGACAATCTCTTTAACAAGTGGTGCTGGGAAAACTGGTCAACCACTTGTAGAAGAAGGAAACTAGAACACTTTCTAACACCATACACAAAAATAAACTCAAAATGGATTAAAGATCTAAATGTAAGAACAGAAACTATAAAACTCCTAGAGGAGAACATAGGCAAAACACTCTCCGACATGAATCACAGCAGGATCCTCTATCACCCACCTCCCAGAATATTGGAAATAAAAGCAAAAATAAACAAATAGGGCCTAATGAAACTTAAAAGCTTTTGCACAACAAAGGAAACTATAAGCAAGGTGAAAAGACAGCCCTCAGATTGGGAGAAAATAATAGAAAATGAAGCAACGGACAGAGGATTAATCTCAAAAATATACAGCAACTCCCGCAGCTCAATTCCAGAAAAATAAATGACCCAATCAAAAAATGGGCCAAAGAACTAAACAGACATTTCTCCAAAGAAGACATACAGATGGCTAAAAAACACATGAAAAGATGCTCAACATCACTCATTATCAGAGAAATGCAAATCAAAACCACAATGAGGTACCATTACACACCAGTCAGGATGGCTGCTATCCAAAAGTCTACAAGCAATAAATGCTGGAGAGGGTGTGGAGAAAAGGGAACCCTCTTACACTGTTGGTGGGAATGCAAACTAGTACAGCCACTATGGAGATCAGTGTGGAGATTCCTTAAAAAACTGGAAATAGAACTGCCATATGACCCAGCAATCCCAATTCTGGGCATACACACTGAGGAAACCAGATCTGAAAGAGACACATGCACTCCAATGTTCACTGCAGCACTGTTTATAATAGCCAGGACATGGAAGCAACCTAGATGCCCATCAGCAGACGAATGAAAAGGAAGCTGTGGTACATATACACCATGGAATATTACTCAGCTGTTAAAAAGAATTCATTTGAATCAGTTCTAATGAGATGGATGAAACTGGAGCCCATTATACAGAGTGAAGTAAGCCAGAAAGATAAAGACCATTACAGCATAGTAACACATATATATGGAATTTAGAAAGATGGCAATGACAACCCTATATGCAAAACAGAAAAAGAGACACAGATGTACAGAACAGAATTTTGGACTCTGTGGGAGAAGGCGAGGGTGGGATGTTTTGAGAGAACAGCATCAAATCAGGTATATTATCTATAGTGAAACAGATCACCAGCCCAGGTTGGATGCATGAGACAAGTGCTCGGGCCTGGTGCACTGGGAAGGACCAGAGGGATCGGGTGAAGAGGGAGGTGGGAGGGGGGATCGGGATGGGGAATACATGTAACTCCATGGCTGATTCATGTCAGTGTAAGACAAAACCCACTACAATATTGTAAAGTAATTAGCCTCCAACTAATAAAAATAAATGGAAAAAAAAGAAAGTAAATAAATAAATAAAATGCGGTGCCTAATAGTCACAGCCTCAATTCTTTTCTGAAGAGAAAATATCATTATGTGTAGCGTGCAGACTGGTTGGCGTGAGAGGGAGGGGTGATCAGATCTTGTGGGGAAAGTACAGGCAGCACTGATGTCAGTGTGAATGGATAATGTACTGTAGCTGCCGTGAGAGAGCAAGTGGCCTGAGTTCACATTAATAAATATAGAATACAGAGGCATCTACACTCATCATTCCTTCATCTGATATTTGTTGTGTGCCAAATAGATGATGCTCTGTATTTGCATCTGTGAAACCTCAGTGAACTAACAACAGACACACTTTGTTGGCCTCGTGCCCTATGTTCTGGTGAGATAGGGCAGAGTGAGCCTATAAGTGAGGAAAGTGTCTTCCTAGAGACTGGCAAGTGCTCTGAGGAAGGTTACCGAGAGTAGAAGTGTGTGGGTACAGGGAATGTGGCTGTTTTACTAAGTTGGTCAGTGTAGGCCTCGTTGAGGAGATGATATTGGAGTAAAGATGTGAAGGACGTGAGAGAATGTCCACTAGGATGTCTGGGGGAAGTTCTCTCCAGGCAGAGGAGACGCCAGTGCAAATGCAGGAGGGCAGGAGAGTGTCTGTGATCATGTAAGAGCCAGGAGGCAGGTGTGACTGGAGGAGCGAGGAATTGAGATGAGATCCAGTGTCTGGCCAGATCATGTGTGCCTCCAGCATACTGGAAGGTGTCTGGTGTCTGTGAAAAATGTGGACTCATAAGATGGTTTGAATAGAAGATGACCTGGTGTGACTGCTCATTAGGAGCGTCAGTCTAACTGCTGTGCAGAATCAGGAGGTGAAGGGTGAGCGATGCAGCAGAGGAGCCTGTAGGATCAGTGGAGGGTACAGGGGGCGGGGGATGCTGGTGTTCCCTGGACCCTCATTAAATCTAGACAGTTGGGAATAGAGCCTGAGAATCTGCATTTGTAATAAGGTTGGTGCTGATGCTGCTGGTCTTCAGGTCACACTTTTAGTAGCAAGAAAGTACGTAGACCGGGATTCCCACATGCTCTGTATCAGCCTCACACCAGAGATTGTTAAATAAGCAATCCCTTGGTCTTATCCTAATACTCTGAGAAGGTGGTTCTGGGGAGAGGCTGAGCATTTCGGAAAAGCCCCACAAGCAATTCTGACAATCAGCCAATGTGGGAACCCCTGAGGTATATGAGAGCGAGTGGCCAGAGAGGGGCGTTAAATCCACATTTAAAAGCGGTTTTTTTCTTCAGAAAGAAAAGGGAATTTATACTGACAATTCATATTGTCAATTATGAGGTGTGATGTTGAGAAATAATGTTCTTATTCCACCTGAAGACTTACACAGTGGTTCACAGTTCAGTGTAATGAAATCCTTGCTCTCTCAAATTATTCTCCAGGTTGAGTTCTCCTCACTCATTCTTGGAGCTAACAATGGGATCCAAATTAAGTTAGACATACAGTACTATAGGTATATGGCTCCATGGGAACAGGATCCACAGTGTCCACTCCAGGCCAGGTCCCACAAAGGAACTTTTGCCCCCATTGGGGCACAGTGTCACTGCTCACACAGTGAGCCCCTCGTGCTGGACGTGGATCCCGCACTGAGGACGGCTATCACTGAGGCTCCTGACAACTGGATGTGGTGCGACTGCCACTCTTGACACCTTTGTCAGATGCATCCTGCATAGTTTCAGCTTCTCTCTGTCACAACGGCCCGAGTAGAGTCTGACATGTGGTCACCTGAGTGATGGGACCTCACACACCTCAGTGTGTGCTCTAGCAAGAATATTTGGGAAAGTGGGTTTTCTTCTTTAATGGAGGAAGGTGGTCTCTGCCTCCTACCAAGATTCAGTGTGGAATTTTCCTAATCTGGAAATGCTCCTAATCAGGTGAGGGGGAGAGAGGGATGGACAAGAATGTCAAATTTCAATTGTTAGAGCAAAGATCTGGAACTGGAACTTGATCTGGTACAATGCAGGCACTCGGGTTTGGCTGAAAGAACACTTGACTAATAAATGACATCCAAGGTAGAGGTCTGCTTGCTTACTTGTTTGTTTTGTTTTGTTTTCATTGGAGTGTAATTGATTTACAATGCTGTGTCACTTTCTGCTGGACAGTACAGTGAATCACCTGTAAATATATTCAGGCTTTTTTAGATTCTTTCCCCATTTATACCATTAGAGTGTGCTGGGTAAAGCTCCCTGTACTTTGCAGTATCCACAGCACTTTAAAGTGCTGCCCAGGTGGTGGTGGAGGGAGATCCTAGGAGGATGGCTCTGCTCCAGATGCAAAAGAATCCAGACCAGGTGGGAGCATGTCAGAAGGGTCCAGGACAACATTTCCAAAAAAGGAAAAACTGATGGAATATCCAAAGTATCCATACTTCTTGAAAGAGGCATGCAAACAGAGCAGTCATTAGAGCTGAATTCATGAGAGCTTCATAGAACATAATCAGCAAAACCAAATCCTCATTAAGAGGCTCTTTAGTTCTTCATTTCTGCCATTAAAATGGGATCATCTCCTTATCTGAGGTTGTTGATATTTATTTCTCCTGGCACTTTTGATTCCAACTTGTGATTCATCCAGCCCGGCATTTTGCCTGATGTATTCTGCATATAGTTAAATAAGCAAGGTGACAATGTACAGCCTTATTATACTCCTTTCCCAATTTTAAACCAGTCCTCAGTTCTGTGTCTGGTTCTACCTGTTGCTTCTTGACCTGCAAGACAGGTTTTCAGTAGACAAGTAAGATGGTCTGGTATTCCCATCACTTTAAGACTATTCCACAGTTTGTTGTGATCCACATAGTCAAAGGCTTTAGCATAGTCAATGAAGCAGAAGTAGATGTTTTTGTGGAATTCCCTTGCTTTCTCTGTGATCCAACAAATGTTGGCAATTTGCTCTCTGGTTCCTCTGCCTTCTCTAAACCCAGCTTGTACATCTGGAAGTTCTTAGTTCACATACTGCTGACTCCTAGCTTGAAGAATTTTGAGGATAATTTTGCTAGCATGTGAAATGAGTACAATTGAACAATTGTACAGCATTGCCCTTCTTAGGGATTGGAATGAAAACTGACCTTTTCCAGTCCTTTGTATCGCTTCATTTCCTCATATGTAGAAAAGCATTAAACCCTTTCATGGTGAGATCAGCTCCTTGTGACTAGCAGAAACCTTTGGAAGATAAGTACTTGATTGCACTGAACTCCCCCTTTACTAAAATCATATATACTGACCTCCCCTCCCTACCTCTTTGGAGCTGTTTCTCAGAGCTATCTGAGGTGCTGTCTCCCAGGCTGCAGTCCTCATTTTGCCCCAAATACAACTTAACTCACAAGTCTTAAGTTGAGCATCTTTTTAGTTGACCAGTGTATTAGTCATGGAAAAGAAAAAGCTGAATGAACTAAGTATGATCAATATATAAATAAAGTGGGAAACTGAAGGAATGGGAAGAGTGAAAGAAAGCAATGACTGTTAACTATTGCATCAGCCCCTGTGTGATGCAACAGACAGTGGCTGTGACAGAAAAATCAAGCAGCCCTCCATCATGTTTAGAGATTTGGAAATTAAAGCCAAAAGAAGCAGCTAAAAATTATTCAAGGTGGTCACCTATGGGAACACAGAAATTGAGAAGAATCAGGATTATAATAAGAATCTGTATCATGAGAAATCATGCACAGATATTTGACTTCTTAATTTACAGCTAGTGGTGCCTTTAATGAAATAATCACACAAGAAAATGAATGAGGATGAAAGTTTATGCTTAATGAAAGCTGAGTACAGCAAATGACAATTGAGAGTTTACTAAAATGCAAGAATACTCGAATGGAAACTTGCATGCACAACTGTGTGGATGACGTTAACCTTGAATAAAACCATGAAAGAATATATCATCCCATTCAGATAAACAGATATGGAATGAGTTCTCTATTCCCATTCCCTTACTGTGCATCGTGTGCACCAGGCAGGGAGGGAACACACCTGCCTAGGAGAACCCTTTGTCACCCTCTTGCTTCCAGTCCGGTCCTGCTGCAGAAAGTGCTCCTGTCATCTGTCTCGGGTCTGTGGGAGGTGCCCCTTAGAACACGCTGCCACAAATGCTTTACCTGGGTGAGGTTAAGGTGGTCCTGACCAAGGAGAGCACCGCTCACCTGTGTGCCCCCGGACCAGAAGTCAGGAACGACTGAGGGTCAGATGGAGAAGTCTCACCTCCCATCTGCCCTGTGGAAATCAGCCTGAGCTCATGGAGGGAGATGCTGCCCAGCCCTCCACATTCTGGGCTCCTTTATTCTCTCCACTCAGGACACTCATACTCAACAGTCACAACTCCCTAGAAGCAGACTGACCCGTATTCCTCCTAATCAGAAGCCCCCAAACCCTGTCCTGTCCCCTCCCCCGACATCGCCCTTCAGCTCAGCTTCATCACATGAGGGTGACAGCTGCTCAGGGGAGATTCCCCCCAGGGTCAGCCACTGAGCACTGGCCCCAGGTGTCCCACTGCATTATCCCCCAGCCCTTTATGCTGAACCTGTCAGACAATGGGAGCTGGGGGAGAGAGAGGTGGGGGATTATTAGAGCCTCCTCAAGGCTGAGATAAAACTCTCCTTTTCCCCAGAATCTTACACCCTCTCCCTTCCCAGCATGTAAAACAAAATGTCATCCAGATGTATATATTTAAAGAGCAATTAAAACTTTTAATATGAAGTTATACAGATTTTACAGGCATGGAGTAATGCATATATGAGTGTGACAAGTGTGAAGGGAACCTGAGATTTCCAGAAATCTGCTAGTGGTCATCTCAGGAGTAGCCACAATAAGGAAACTGGCAGATAAAGCGTATTGGTAATAATTTGTTGTCCATGTGCTCTATTATAATGTAAAAAGCAAAATTAATATTAGTTATGACTGTGGTACAGCTGTAACCACGTCAAATATATTATCGGTTTTAATCATCCCAACCATAACAAAATAAACACTAGTTTTCTCATTTCATAGATGAAAAAATGGAGACCTCAAGAAGGAATGTGTTCTACTATAAATCAACTACCTTCAAAAATAATAATAATAAAACAAAAAATGCATCTATATGGAATCTAGAAAAGTGGTACCGATGAACTATTTACAGAGCAGGAATAGAGACGCAGATGTGGAGAACAGACTTGTGAGGGAAGGAGACGGTGGGATGAATTGAGAGTAGCATTGAAACATACACATCACCGCGTGTAAAAAAGCTACTGGGATAAACATATATGGAATGAGTTCTCTATTCCCATTAGCTTACTGTGCATCGTGTGCACCAGCCGGGAGGGAACAGGACTTGACTGGGTATTCAGCCTGGTGCTCAGTGACCTAGAGGGGTGAGATGGGGAGGGAAGTTCCAGAGGGAGGAGATACATGTAGACTTAGGGCTGATTCACAGTGCTGTGTGGCAGAAACCAATACATTATAATGCAAGTATTCTCCAGTTAAAAATAAAATATAAAATAAAAATAATTTTAAAATAATAAAATTAATAACGCACATTAAAAAAAAGTGCTATTGAGACCAGAACTAGGAACTGAATTCAGGCCTCCTGGCTGCAGATTCTAAGCTTCCCCTGTTAAACTGAGGAGCTGAGTCTGACACGAGGACTGAAATTCTGGGTGTGTGAGGCCATTATGATCAGTTGGCTCCGTCTGGAATTGATCCCGGTCTTGTAGGCTAATAGGCTCTGGAGAAAAAGAAAAACCAATAAATAACTGACCAACTGGTTGCAGAATAATGCTTTTCATTCCCTCAGAGATTCTCCTTCAGTTGCTTCAAAGTCAGATTCTGCCTTCCTCTGAGGGAAGAACACACCTGTTCTTTTTTTGCGTTCTTTTCCCCAGCTCTTGCTGAACTCCTCCCCTGACTCCATCAGCATCATCACCTGTCCCTGCTGCCACCACCGTCCACAACAGGGACAGAAGTCGCAGGAACGAAGGACAAGATCCAGGAGTGAAAACCCAAGGCCCTTCCGCCTTGAACCCAGATCCATTCTCTAACGCAATGTGAGGCTCCCTCACAGATAGGACCCAGCTCCATGTTCCTTCAGCCCTGGAGTGGACACACACACAGCTCCTTTCTCTCCTCAGTTCTCGGCCTCCTCACCTGCACAAGCACCTGCTCCACCACCTGGTTCCACCTCAACCCTGACCTCCACCTCCTGCAGCCCCCCTCCCCCTCGCCCCCAGCCCTGAGCCAGCAGCTCCGAACTGGAAAGCCCATCTGGAGGCTCAGGGGACAGCAGCCCTGTCTAGAAACACTGGGCTGCCCCAGACTGTCCCCCTGACCGGACCCTGGAGCACCCCAGTCCTCGCCCCAACCCTCACTCTCTGCCCAGGCTCCTAGGCTGCACTTGGCCTTTCCTGCTCCTTCCTGGGAATCCCAGCTCCACTCCAAGTACTGGGCTGGGCTGAGGCAGAGCAGGGCCTCCTGCCTTGCTCAGCCAGGGAGTCAACCAGGACCCGCCCTCACTACCTGCAGGGGATCTGCTTTTCAATGTGGATTGGGGTTCTTGAGAACTTCCCCAGAATGAGGCTGTACCTGACCCCCTCTGCACCCTGGCACTGCCATCCCACCCTCCACCTCCCAGCGGGAGCGCCCCATTTGAATTCCTGTTTCATTTAATATGCATGGAAATCCTATTAAGGTCTGCCACCTGAAATCATAAGCAATTTTGTTGAACACTAAAAACTTCAAAAGTGATTTTGAGAAATTAGCACATGATTTTCACAGTTTTCCCGACAAATGCCCCAATACATACAAGACAACCATTTATGCCCCAGAGGAACCAGAGTTGATGTTCCCCAGATAAGAGCAGGAAAAAGTACAGATCTGCTGGGTCCCTGCTCTGGGTGCCACACGGACAGAGTCTGCTGCTGTGAGAACTGACCTCCCCTGTATGCCCAGGCCGAGTTAGGTTTGGGGATAAGAAACCAAGCCCCCAACAAGGCAACTGACACAGAAGAGGTGGCCTCGACAGGAGCCGAGTCTCTGCCACCTTTTTCCTGTTCCACGTTCTGCCTTTGCACTTTGCCACACACAAAGCTCTGCTTTTCTTTCCCTCTCCACTCAACCCACTCGATGATGGGGACATCAAAGTGATCATCCCTTCCTCAAAATCTACAAGGCAGTGACCTCCATGAGCAAGGGAACTGACTCAGGGGGGCAGGTGAGGCCACGGAGCGCAGACCGAGTGCCCTGCTCTAAAGAGCCCTTGGACTGTGTCCCAAGGGGCTAGGTAGGAAAAACCTGGAGATAGGATAAAATCAGTGACCCCAGTTGCCTGAGGATTGACTGGACTCCTCTCCTCAAATGGTCAAGGGATATCTACCAGTTCTCCATATTATGGGGAAGGAGAGCCCAGTTAGCATGGGGGCACTTGATGGGAACTTGCGAAAGGTGCAGGCTGGGAGTGATCCAGCAGACACTCAACTCAGAAGATAGTTCGTGGAGGAGGAATTTGAGAGGCTGCCAGACATCTCTAAGTGGGGCCTGGCAAGGGGACATCACATGCAGGGCTCTGACTATCCACTGACCCCTAGTTTGAGCCTTATGATTCTTTCACTTGGATTCTTAATAATGTCTGAAAATCCGGGGGGAGAAATGCAGACAGGCACTTAAGTCATCACCTTTCCTCTGAATTCCTCTTCAGGTTTTTATCCCCTCCTCACCAGGTACAGACACTTTACTAAAGGTTCTCTCTGGTTCCTGGATCACCTAGACCCTCCCAACCAGCACATCATCCAACACATGCTCCCCAGACAAGCCCCGGTGAGCCTGACAGAAAACAAGGAGAGCTGAGAACAGAGCAGGGAGCTGAAATCCTCATCGCTGCCGAATCTCACCCAGAGCACCCCCGCCCAGATTTCTCACCTGGCCTCCCTGTAGCTGACACTGTCTTCCTCTTCTTAATATAACAAGAGACACAAAATCCGATGATAAAAACAACAGCAACAGGAATGCTCACAATCCACCATGATCTCTGGTGCACCAGGGTCTTTCCTGAAACAGGACCTTATTATATACAACCCGGGCACGCCAGAGCCACAACCTGCTCTCCTCTCCCTGACCCTGGCCTCTGACCCCCCAGGGTCACAACCCCCTCCAGGCTCACCCACGTCTCACCCAAGGGTGCGAGGTGTGTACTGTGATTCCCATTGTGTTCCACAAGGCACTTGACCCGCTGCTCTTCTCCTTGGGGAATTATTATGGTTTTCCAGGTATAGTAGGTCCCGTTCCCGTCAGGCAGGATACCCCCAGACTCCAGGGCATCCCGGCTCATGGGTTCCTCATCCCGAAACCAGGCCACTGAGATATTCCGGGGAAAGAAGCCAAAAGCCCTGCATGTGAGGTGGACCATGCCCTCCGAGTCCTGGCTGCGGGTCACATTCACGGCTGGGGACACTGTGGGGAGAAAGCACAGAGCCAGTGAGGCCCGCGGCCAAGCCCTGCTCCCTCGAAGGAGGACGGGGTGCACAGGGCTGCTTCTCCTCACTGTCACCTCTGGCTGAGCCCTCATCCCCCCAGGCCTGCTCCAAGTCTGTTTTGCACCCTGGGGCCCAAGTCCTCTGGTGGGGAAGGGGAGGGGTGGGATGGGCCTCACTCTCTTGGATCCACTGTTGATGCTGGGGAGGGAGCTGTGAAGGGTGGGCTCCTGGGGACTAGAGGGAATTTTCTGGATCAGGCAGGCTGGGAGCCAGGGGCCCACCCCCATCTAAGGGCCTCCTCTGCTGCCTGACATCCACCTCCCCTCATACAGTTTCTGTCAGAGGACCTGCTGCTCCCCTGGACAATTGTCACAGGAGCATTTTATTTCCCCCCGCCGCCACCCATCTTTCTACAGTGGATTGAACAGAACAGGAAAGAAACCCCAGGACACCATGCCAACAGACCACATGCACACCCAGAGGGCAGGGAGGGTCTCCGTGGGCAAGTCGGGATGGGAGGCTTTAAGATCAGGGCAGCGAAAGGGCCTGGCCCAGGATCAGTACCTGTCCTCTCCATGAAGCCCGTCCAGGATTCCAGGTAGACCCGTAATCCTCTACAAAGTTCTCCCTGCATGTGGGCCCGGTAATGCTTGCTTAGAAAGCCGTCTGTGTCCCAGGACTTCTCCATTTCCATGGCCAAGGTCCGAGCCGAGGACTGGGGCAGGGTACATCCGTGGGCCTCCTGGTAACAGGAGAGGAGGAGCTCGCCATTGAAGTGGAGAAGCCGGAAGCCCCGGGCGCGGCTGTCTTCACGGATCTCACAGCCCACGGTCTCCTGGAGGGAATGTAAGCCTGCCCCATCCCCACCCCACAAGCAGTGACTCCTCTGGTCCCCAGGGCCTCTGTTCTCCCACCCAAATGATAAAGTCCAGACAGAGGATTCCCCCCCCCTGCTCCCCTCTATGTCTTCCCTGTGCTGCTGAACTCACAGACCCCAATTCCTCACCCCCACCCCCATCCCCAAATTCAGAGGAAAGAGGCCGGTGCTCTGGGCTGCAGTCCCTCCTGGAAAATGGCCCACAGCACTCTTGCCCCCTCTGCACTCTTACCTCTTTTCTCTTCCTGAAGGGACAGGATTTCTGCTAGAAGTTTTCTGAGCTCCTTACAGGTCTCTTTCAAGTCCTTGGACACTGTCTCCCACGTCTCTGCTCCCAGCCTTTCAGCCCACCGTCCCCGGAGCTCTGCCCTGCCTTTCTTGTGATCGTAGTTCAGGAAGGTCTGACCATCCAGGTATCCCCCAGCAAAAAACCTGGGCTGCACAAAGCCATCCCGGGACAGCACTGTCATGTTGTAAGAAAGACTGTGGGATCCTGGGGAAGGAGGAACCACAGATGAAACTGCTTTCTGGAAACAAGTGCATATCATGTTTAACAGACAAGTTCTGTGTCCTGACCTGCTCCAGGTGCTGAGGATGCAGAACAAGCATGTGTTTTAGGGACCAGAGTGAGGATTTCCATACAGGAAAAATGGGAAAGAGAAGGAGGGAGAGGGGAATGGAGGAGTGGAGGGAGAGGGTGGAGATGGACACACATGTAGGACAAGTGCCAGGACAGGGAGGCGTCGGCTCCCTAAGGGTCCAGGCAGGAGGGCAAGGGGAGAGGCAGGAAGAGGGAGAGGGGAGGTGGAGTCGGAGGGAGGGAAGGGCAGTGTCAGACCCAGGACCAGAGGGATCCCTGGTCAGAGGGGTGGTCAGGTGAGATGGAGATCAAGGGCTGCCACCCCTGGTGCAGGCTCATCATGGACAAGGCGGGTTCCAGGGAGGGTGAGGCAGGAGGCAGAGGGGCCTGAGGGGCTGGGCTGTGGCCCCAAGAGAGATGAAGGTGGCCAGTAACCTGGGGGAGGTGAAGGAGTGGGTCTGGGCCCAGAGTGCACAGAGGCCTGGTGAGGTCCTGGATGGGGAGGTGGCTGAGCTGCCAGTGTCCACTGGGAGGAGTCAGTCTATGCGCACAAGGGTCATGGGGAATTAGGAGTAGGGTGGCAAGAGAAGACAGAAGTTAAAGCCAAGGTGCACACTGGGAAGCACCTACGTGGTGGGAGGGGTTGGAGGGAGTGACGTCACACCTCCACGGAGGGTCAGGGTCAGGCATCCAGCAAGCAGGGGTGGGGGCCTGGGAGAAGACTCCCTGTAGGAAAGGCCTGTGACAAAGTGGCATAAATAAGGATTTTGGATACAAGATTGAGATAGTGAGAGCCCACTGGGGTCGTGGAACCAAAGAGAGGGTGATGAAAGCTAAGGAGGTGGGCAGTGGACAAAGGGCAGTATTCCTACTGTGGGAGAAGGGAAGAGACTGCAAAGGAGATGTGGTGAGGGCCTGGGATTGAGGGGCAAGGGATGAGCATGGCTCACGGGTGAGCCCACCTTGGGTTAAGGTAATGACAGAAGAGAACGACGCCCTGGGTGAGGGAGAGTGAGGGTAAGGTGGAGATTCTGGGCACCAGGAGGCCTGTGATTGATGAGAACTTGGTGAGGGCACGAGGCACTCAGACAAGGCTGGGAGCTGGGCAAGGTGCCATGGGGGGAGCTGCGGAGGGACCGGGGCAAGTGGAGTCCAGCACCTGTGGCCTGGAGAGTAGAGGAATCCAGAGGGTGAGGTTTAGGATGCAGGAGTGGGGGAGGGGCCATGTAGGGTGAAAGGCCCCCCTTGGATGAGGGCCAAGAGGAGGTGCTTGCACGGGGGCAGAGGTAGGAAGATGGGTGTCAAGTGGGGGACAGGTCCTCCCGCAGGGGCTGGGCACTGTGCTCAAGGCCCAGGGATCATTGGCAGGAGAGCTCCTCCTGGTGATGAAAATAGGGAATCACCTATTTGGAGGGAACAATCCATGGGTAAAAGTAATCCCAGGAAAAGTAAGGTGAGTGAAAGCTGAGGGAAGGTAGAAGCCTTGCAGGTGACCGATCCTCGGAGGAAAAGACTCCTGAGGGGAGGGGAGGGACCTGTAGCGGGAAAGGGATGAGGGTGGGGACGCCCTAGGAAGAGCTCAGAGAACGGTAGAGAGGAGGGGGCAGCACGGAGTGGGAAGGGCAAATCCCGAGGGGGCTCGAGGGCCAGCAAGGGAGGTAGTAAGGAGAGATTCAGTTGTGGGACCAAAGGCACAGCGGAAAATTAGAGTTCACGTTAGTGGGGGAGAGGGGGAGTAAGGGGGGAGGGGAGACCACGGAAACCGCAGGAAGAATCCTTTGGTCCCAAAGCCCGCAGAGGTAACCTCCGTCAGTGATTCAGGAGCCGCCACAGTACCCATAGCAGTAGGAAGAGTGTGGATCGAGTTTGCCCCTTCCCAGAGGCCCGGGTCACTAGAAGAAGGGCCCTAACTCTAGGGGCTGAGGACCCTTAACGCCGCCTGCCTGGAAACTCCTTGTTTCCAGCGGCCAGAAATAAGAGACGGCAGAGCTAAGAATAGGAGAGGACAAGTTTCAGGGGCCGAAGAGGGCGCCCCACAGACGGCTAAGAAGTGATCGCCTGAGCCTGGGACCTGGAAGAAACTTCGGCGCCATTCAAGGGAGCAGCGGGGCGGGGGCGGGGGGATGAGGCGGGGGGTGCGGGAGGAGGGACAAGGAGCGGGGTGGGGACCAGGCTGCCTTGTCAATCAGGGGAATCTGAGGACTGAGACTTGTGATGAGGAGGAAACCCGGGGAGGACAGGTGGGGGCAGGGAGAGCAGAGGCTAGGAACTGGAAAGAGACTGAAAAGCGGGATGCAGTGCTCGCCGCACGCCGTGTGAAGTTCCCGGCAGCTCCTTGACCTTACACTCCCCTCCCCCGCCCCTCTCCTTCCTCCCACCCCACCCCCAACTCCTCTATTCGCCCAACCCCCGCCGCAATTGAGACGGTCCCCGAGACGCTCACCGAATCCCATCGAATGCTAACCACACGGACCCCTGAAACCACCCCGGGCCTGTGCGGACTAAGACCTCAATGAACCCCACTCACCGGCGGCGGTACCCAGGAGCACAAAAAAGGCAGCGCCGGCTAGAAACGGCCAGACAAGAGAGAGCCCCATGGCCCAGATCATGTCTCCCTGCCAGAGGCTCCGGGATCGCACGAAAGCTGGCGGACCCGAGGAACCGCGGCGGGAAACTGAGCTGTGGTGAAGTCGGGCCGGCAAATACTTTCACCTGTCCTGGCCCGGGCAGCCCCCCGGCGGTCCTGCCACGGCCCCGCCCCGCCCCGCCCCCGCCCCGCCCCCGCCCCGCCCCGCGCCGCCCCCGCCCCGCCCCCGCCCCGCCCCGCGCCGCCCCGCGCCGCCCCGCCCCGCCCCGCGCCGCGCGTCTCCTTGGTTAGCCGGTCTCCTTCCGCTTCTCAGTTCGGTTCAGTGGTTCAGTCATGTCTGACTCTTTGCGACCCCGTGGACAGCAGCACGAAAAGCCTCCCTGTCCATCACCAACTCCCGGAGTTTACCCAAACTCATGTTCATTGAGTAGTGATGCCATCCAACCATCTCAGCCTCTGTCGTCCCCTTCTCCTCCTGCCTTCAGTCTTTCCCAGCATCAGGGTCTTTTCAAATGAGTCAGCTCTCCGATTCAAGTGGCCAAAGTATTGGAGTTTCAGCTTCAATATCAGTGCTTCCAACCCAGGACTGGTGTCCTTTAGGATGGACTGGTTGGATCTCCTTGCAGTCCAAGGGACTCTCAAGAGTCTTCTCTAACACCACAGTTGAAAAACATCAATTTTTCTGGGCTCAGTTTTCTTTATAGTCCAACTCTCACATCCATACATCACTACTGGAAAAATCATAGCCTTGACTAGACGGACCTCTGTTGGCAAAGTAATGTCTCTGCTTTTTAATATGCTATCTAGGTTGGTCATAACTTTCCTTCCAAGGTGTAAGTGTCTTTCAATTTCATGGCTGCAGTCACCATCTGCAGTGATTTTAAAAGCCTGAAGGCTAGAAAAGCCAGGGGGGTGAGACAAAGGGTGAGCTTTACAGACACCTCAACGTTTCCAGACATTTGGGGCTCTTCCTTTAGACACAACTTCTCTTCCAACCCAACCCACCTCCACCACCCTCCACCTCCCACAGCAGAGTTACTGGCAACAGTTTACTGAGACCAGCCAAGGTCTTCCCTGGTGGTCCAGTGGTTAAGAATCCACCTACCAAAACAAGGGACACGGGATCCATACCTGGTCTGGGAAGATGCCACATGCCTCGGGGCAACTAAGCCAGCGCACAGCAACTCAATCCTTGAGCCGCAACCACTGAAGCCAGAGTGCCCTAGAACTCCTGCTCCACAAGGCAAAGGCACCTTGAATGAGAAGCCCGTTCAGCCCAACTAGAGAGTAGCCCTTACCCTCTGCAAGGAAAGAAAGTCCAAGCCAAGCAAGGAACAGACCAGGCGCCACAAGGAAGAATCACTGCCGCTGAGAAAACAAAGTCTACTGAGAGCAGATTTGCAGATTCCAGCAACTCTGCCTCTCAGAAGTCATTACCCTGGATGAATGACTCAGAGTCCAAACCCTTCTCTCTCTCTTCTTTCATTTTTTTTAAAAATTTATTTTTAATCGGAGGACACCTGCTTTACAATGGTTGGTTTCTGCTGTACAACAACATGAATCAGACATAAATATACAAATATCGCCTCCCTCTAATCTCCTTCTCCTCCTCCAACTAACTGCTACGTGTCTTCTGGTGGCCTCATCCTATAAGTATCCTCATTCTCCCAAGGAGACTCTTGGTTCAGCCCCTGGGGAATCACAGGTTCAGTGAGATGACTCCCCATGATCCACTCCAACACTAGCCTCTCCAGATTCCCTTTCCAACCTGCCTCAGGATGTCTGCACCTCTGGGCCCATCCTCCCCTCAAACCCAACAGGTCTACAAGCAAACTCCGCACACCAGCCTCTCCTAGTTCTCTTTAAGCATCACCAGCTTGGTCCCTTCTGATCCCCTTCCCCCTGCCTCTCATGGATTCACAGTCAGCTCCTCCAACCCCTTTTCAATCCCATAGCAGCTACCTTAGTCCAAGTTTTCATCTACCTCAACCTAGAGAACTGCAAAGGCTTCCTAAACACAGGTCTGTCCCCATTTATAACTATAAGGCCACAAGCCATCCACAGCTGTCCCATCTGCAGAATTAACACACAATGTCTCTACTCCATCGTTAAGTGGCAGCTGCCACAACCAGCTAGGTGCCACCATTTTCCACTTCTCTGTGACATCAGGATGCCACCGCTTACACATCACTCTCCTATGGGTTACTCTCCTCTGCCTTCCAGCCCATCAGAACAACAGATCCTAAAAGAGCATCCCAATTAGATGGTGGTAAGGGTGGCACAACCTTGGGATTATACTAAAAACTACTTAACTGTTTGCTTTAAAAGGTGAATTAAGTGATATATGAACTATATTTCAAAAATAACAATAATGCCATCCTGAAAGTCTTCTTCTACTGAAAGCTGTGCTTTGTCCCCAAAGCACATCTTTTGGTCTTTGGAATATGTCCACCATGGTCCTCAAACTTGACTGCTTATAGAACCACCTGGAGAGTTTTTACTGTCCGTATCTCTAGGGCCATGGCCAAAACCAATTGAATTCGAATCCCTTGGGTTGGACTTAGGCTTCCTATCCTTTAAAGCCCCCTCACTGAATCCAGTTTTAGAATAACTGGTCTAGCCCTTGTTGAAACCCTGATGGAACCAAGTATGCCCTGCCTTGAACCCCATCTGACCATTTTATACACCCCCCCATTAGACAATGAGTTGCTTTGGGATCAGGAACTGTGTTCATTTCATGTTTGTGTCCCTGCAAATGCTTTTAAAAAGTTGTACTCTGCCTCTCATTACTAACCATTCCACTAGGATCCTTATGCAATACTTTTGCTGTGGATCCAAATGTCATGCCTCAGAAAGCTTTAACACATCTTAGATTTCACATCAGTTTTGTTAATTACTTTGACCATCATAATTTATTTAGCAGGTCAGAGATTGGATCCTGTCCCATTCCAGAGAGATCCTTTTCACTGCTAAAGCCCACAAGTGAAAGTGGACCTCCCCCTCGAGTAGTAGAGTGGATGGAGTCTGCCTCCCAGTGCAGGGAACATGGTTCCATCCTTGCTCTGGGAAGACTCCACGTGCCCGGGAGCGGCTGAGCCCTTGTACCAACTGGGCTTCCCTGGTGGCTCAGACGGTAAAGCGTCTGCTGTAATGCAGGAGACCTGGGTTCGACCCCTGGGTCGGGAAGATCCCCTGGAGAAGAAAATGGCAACCCGCTCCAGTACTCTTGCCTGGAAAATTCCATGGATGGAGGGGCCTGGTAGGCTACAGTCCACGGGCTCCCAAAGAGTTGGACACGACTGAGCAACTTCACTGGTTCACCACAACTACGGAACACCCCCTCCCCGCTCTAGACCGACTCCCGGCAACTAGAGAAGCCCGCCGTGCAGCAACAAAGACTCAGAGCAGCCAAAAATAAATAAATAAACGAGTAGTGAAGGTATAGACAGGCAGATGGAAGCCAGCTCTCCTGACAGCTAGACAAGCGCTTTCCTCCAAGTCAGTTTTTTCCCCCAAGACTTGCTGGGTGTGGCTGCTCCAGCAAGCTGGTTCACTTAGGTGAACTCTCTCCCTCTCCCCCCAAAGAATTTTAATACTAACGTTAACATGCTACGTTTGTTTCCCAGCATTTCGGGATGATTGTAATGAGAGATAAAGCCAACTATTCTGCGTGGGAAGTAGGAGTCCAGATTGGGGGGGGGGGGGCTCCTCCCCCAGCACAGGTCGCAGCTAGTCCGGGGAACCAAGTGCTTTTCCTCCGCCCACCCGGCCTCCAGACTCCCCTGCTTTTCTCTATAAACTACTTTTTCTCCATTCTTCATTTCGTACCCCTGGACTCACCGGCACACGGGCCTCTTTCTCTCCGCTGACCTCTGGTACCACTACAGGGTCCTAAAAGGAAACAGAAAACGACCGGAGTGTTGGGAGCTTACATAATCCAGGGCGGGGCTCGGCAAACCCTCGGAAGATCACCCCTCCCCTCTAACTCTGGCTTCAAGGGAAGAAATGCTGTTCGTGGATTAAAAAAAAAAAAAAAAGCAGAATGAAATTTATGGGCAGGTTGGGAGAGGAGTGAGCTGCATTTAGGTTTCTGGTTCTGAAACTGCTCAACAATGAACATCTGCAGGCTGCAGGCCGTGAAAACGCAGATCTGCCCGGGTCCGCGGAAATTCCCAGTCGTTGGTCCGAAGGGAGATCCCAGAACCCGACTTATTTCAAGCACCCTCTGGGTCGATTCTGAATAGGAAGATGCTTTTCCGAGCCCCCGAGCCCATGGGGCCGCTCTTGAATTCTAGGATCCAAGTACATTCCCTACCGCCTCGCGTCGCCTCCAGAAGAAAAGCGCCCTCCGCGGAGCTGGGCTTAGAATCCCATCAGCCCACTTCAGAGGAAAGCGAAAACTGAGCATCCAGGAAAACAGACACACACCGAGGTTCTGTCAACGTTTGGGAGGAAACTAGAGCCAGTGTGACAATAGTTGCAGAGCCGTGCAGCGCTTCACCCTTTAGAAATGCCAGAGTGAGCTGTGACTTGGGCTTTGGTCCTTGACCAGTCCCAGGTGAGTGACGTGTGCTTGAAAACGAGGGGATAAGCTGTCAAAGTGAGAGTGGAAAAGGAAGGAGGGAAGGGGAAAGGGTTGAAGAAAGAAAAAGATAAGAGAAAGGGAGAAAAAAGCTACAGGGGAGATGAATTTTTAACAGTGTAATTTTATGCTTTCTAACATCTTTATTCTTTATCTGGATCTGTCTTTTATTCAAAGTTTGCCATAACTGTTTCATCTCTCTCTGAATGCATTAAGTAGATGGCTGTTTTTGTTACTGCCTAACCGCTCCAAAATCACTGCAGATGGTGGTTGCAGCCATGAAATTAAAAGAGGCTTACTCCTTCGAAAGAAAGTTTTGACCACTCTAGATAGCATATTGAAAAGCAGAGACAATACTTTGCCAACAAAGGTCCGTCTACTCAAGGCTATGGTTTTTCCAGTGGCCATGTATGGATGTGAGAGTTGGACTGTGAAGAAAGCTGAGTGCCGAATAATTGATGCTTTTGATCTATGGTGTTGGAGAAGACTCTAGAAAGTCCCTTGGACTGCAAGGAGATCCAACCTGTCCATTTTAAAGGCGATCAGTCCTGTGTGTTCATTGGAAGGACTGATGCTGAAGCTGAAACTCCAATACTTTGGCCACCTCATGCAAAGAGTTGACTCATTGGAAAAGACCCTGATGCTGGGAGGGATTGAGGGCAGGAGGAGAAGGGGATAACAGAGGATGAGATGGCTGGATGGCATTACCGACTTGATGCGCATGAGTTTGAGTAAACTCTGGGAGTTGGTGATGGACAGGGAGGCCTGGAGTGCTACAATTCTTCATATGGGAAGAGTCGGACATGACTGAGCGACTAAACTGAACTGAACCACTGGGGAGTAAATGGCCCAGTCTCTCCCTCCAGATGTGCAAGGCATAGCTCTCAGCAAAAAGACAAGGTGTCTTGTTTCTTTTGTTTACCTAACCAAAAGACTCATTCCAAAGTGATTTATATTTTAAAAATCAACTTTGAAAGTACATACTTTACATAAAACACCTATTTGAAACACATAGCTGGTTGTGTTTTGGCAATTTACATGCCCATGTCACCACGATGAAGATGTAGAACTATTGTTGTTTAGTCGCTAAGTTGTGTGGAGCTCTTTGCAACCCCATGGACTATAGCCTGCCAGGTTCCTCTGTTCATGAGATTTTCCAGACAAGAATACTGGAGTGGGTTGCCATTTCTTCTCCAGGGGATCTTCCCAAACCATGGGTGGAACCTGGGTCTCCTGCATTGGTGAGTGGGTTCTTCACCACTGAGCCAACAGACAAGCCCCAGAGTCACCTAGGGTGGAATTCCCTCAAAGAAATATCATTAAGAGAAAATCGTTGTGACACTTCTAAGCCCACACAAATGCTCAAACAAACCAACACCAGAAAACCAAAATGCTAGTTCAGATGAGATCTCTGAAGCTGGCTGTAATTCTTTGTGGGACGTGTTAGGTAGAAACGATAACTCTATTTAGGGCTATAGCTCAGTTGCCCCTACATCCCGGGAGCCTCAGAAAGGACCCCGGATCTTCAGTTGCCCATAGTGAGGTCATTCCTGGGGCAAAAGTAGAATCTTCTTGAATCTTCTTGAATGTAGGATTTTACATTTACTCAGTGCCACTGTGGATGTTGATTTCTTCTTTTAACATTTTGGAATTAATTTGCTCTGACTCTAAATAAGAACCGCAAACAGGAAACCAGGAACTGGTTTTGAATCGCCCCACGACGATGACTCATGCAAAAATCCTAAGAGTTTTTGAGCCAATGAAATCCATGGTTAGATAAACAGTAAATTCTCCTTTTCAATACGTTTCAGATATCCCAGCTTGCCTAGTAATGTTCTAACTTGAACCCCAGACTTAACATTTAAAATTTATATTTTTGTTGGCACTGATTTTTATTTTTATTTAAAAAATGGTTTATTTATTTATTCTTGGCTGTGCTGGGTCTTTACTGCTGCATGGGCTTTTCTCTAGTTGTGATGAGCGGAAGCTACTTTCTAGTGGCAGTTCACAAGCCTCTCATTGCTGTAGATTTTCTTGCTACAGAGCACAGGTTCTAGGGCACACAGGCTTCAATATTTGCTGGCACATGGGCTCAATAGTTGAGGCTCCTAAGCTCTAGAGCACAGGCTCAATAGATATGGTGCATGGGCCTGTTTCCCTGAGGCATGTGGGATGAGATGGTTGGGTGGCATCACCGACTCAATGGACATGGATTTGAACAAACTTCAGGAAATAGTGAAGGACAGGAAAGACTGGAGTGCTGCAGTCCATGGGGTAGCAAAGAGTCAGAGAATAACAACAAGAGGGCTCTGGATTATCACCAATAAGCTAGGCCTATGATTTTAGCCATGTCATCGATTCATCTCATTTGTGAATAAAGAGATACAACTAGATATTTTTATTGTGATTGTCATGATCAGTATTGAATATTTATAGTAGGTTGAAAGGTAGATGAAGACTATGACAAATAGACTGATAGGTAGGTAGATAGACAGATGTATAGCAGTGGCAAATATTGGAACTGAACTCAATTTGTCTGACATTGTGATGCAACTAGTATAACATCTCTTAACACTACTTATAAACTGAAGTTAGCTGTGATTCAAGACAGAAAGGGCAATTTGTTGCTTGCAGTCTGCATTGTAAAGGTATTCCAACTGCCACCAGTATTCACAAACACGTTCAGTTTAGATTTAAACTGTCCCAGGAAACTGTCAAAGAAGATTATATTATTTTGTCCATTTAGTATAAATATATAATAGCTTCAAGGTGGTAGGACAGAAGTGAAAGAGGATGATGAGTGTTTAATCATTACAAACTTAAGTCATTGCCCTTTAAACTTCCAGTCATGCAGACCAAGCAAAGCAGAGGACTCCTACAGTTTTGGATCTGGTGCTTTCTCTTTATTCATGTTTATCCTAGCTTTACAACATTTTATGTGGAATTACTGAAATGAAATCTTATTGTGACATTTCTGAGCAGTTGTGCACATTTTCCTGGGGAGAAAATGAATAATAGAATAAAATGAAGAAAAAAACAGAAATGAAAGGTGATAAAAGTAGCAACAGTAAACTGTCTTTTTAGGGACCTTTAGATCTGGACATCATCTGAGAACAATAATTATTCTCAATGTGTCTTCAAACTTCCAAATTTTTCTTCGATCATATTAAAGGAACTTACTTATTATTTTTGTTGTTAAGTTTCTCAGTCGTGTCCAACTCTCTGACGCCATGTACTACAGCATGCCAGAATGCCCTGTCCTTCACCATCTTCAGGAGCTTGCTCAAACTCATGTCCATTGAAACAGTTTTGCCATCCAATCATCTTATCCTCTTTTGTCCCCTTCTCCTCCTGCCTTCAATCTTCACCAGCAGCAGGGTCTTTTCTAATAAGTTGGCTCTTTGCATCAGGTGGCCAAAGAATTGGAACTTCAGTTTCATTGGAACTTCCAATGAATATTCAGGACTGATTTCCTTTAGGATGGACTGGTTTCCTTTAGGATGGACTGGTTTGATCTGCTTGCAGTCCAAGGGGCTCTCAAGAGTCTTCTCCAACACCACAGTTCAAAAGCGTCAATCCTTTGGTGCTCAGCTTTCTCTATAGTCAACTCTCACATCTATACATGACTACTGGAAAAACCATAGTTTTGACTAGATGGACCT